CAGCATCCAACCACAACGAAAATGTTTAAATTGGATGTGATGGTCTTGCATGCAGCCCAAGCTTGTTGGAGGCCTTAACGTAGGACATTTGTCACGATTGAGCTTATTAAGACACTCTCATGAATGATATCTTTTTGGCAAAACACAAAACACTCACCTGTCCAGGCAGGCTACAGACAGCACACAAACACCAAACTGTCCATCGAGCATAGGCTGAGATGCGTTAATAAGCTGTGCATATCATGCATGCGTGTGCATGTGCGATGATCTGGCTGCAATCCTCCGTGCCCGGAGCTCCTGGATGTCCCTACCCGGATTCGAGCCGGGGTCTTCACGGCCACAACGTGATGTACTAACCACTATACGATAGGGACGAGCAAATGGGATGGACAGTCGAGGCCTCACAGCGCAATGGTCCTAGGCCCCAAATTACACACAACAATATTCGAAACCACACTGTATTACCATACAATTCCAAACCTCTCCATGCGGGGCCAACATTGACGGCTTCAATTGCCGGAGAACCAGTTTTGGGTTTGGTGGCGTACTTATTATTATAGTCCACGTCAGAACATAATATGTGTGCTGGATCCGAGAACATTAATATATATTGGGTCTTCTTACTAATGCAGGCCCGTCAGCAGCATAGGGTGATTATGATATATGTGATGAATGATGGGAGCGTCTAGAAGGGAACCTACAATCAAGAGAACCTACAATCAATCAGCGGCAGCAGAACAGGATGAAGGACGCTGTGAAGCGGAAGGACGCCATTTACGGACAACCATATATAATACTACATTTTCACCCCTGCACCAGGCCCTTACCACTTTCACATCAAACCTGCCAGTGTTCCATCGGGGTACATTTGAAGATAGATGTGGCTTAACATGTGGAGCTCGAGCACATGCACCGCCACCTCACGTAGGCGGGCTGTGCCTTTCCTGATCACTCGTGTGAGTTGCTGTTGCTGCTGCAGCTGTTGCTGCTGCTGCTGCTGCTGCTGCTGCTGCTGCTGCTACTAGTATACTACTGCCGCTGTATACTACTGCCGCTGCAAGAAGCTCACTGAACTATCTCGTTATATGAAGGAAAGGGTTACAACATGGATTCCGTCACCGAACTCCTTTGTCGATTCCCATAAAATCTTCAGTCTTTGCGATACACGAAGTTATACATGTGGATGATGATCATCCTGATGAGATTGACCATCTTGTCCGCTGTACCATAACACCATACATTAACATTTCAATTCCGCAGATAACATCTTTTCCCAAGGGTACGCTTCTGCATGATTTGCACGTTTAAGCGACTGCACAGCCGTATCTGCGATACTTCCGAGCCTACCAGGGATCGAACCTGGA